GCCACCATTTCTTCTGATTGGTATTCCTTCCTCTAATATTCCAATATTTCAAAAACTGACTTATCTATTTTATAGTCCATTTCAGCCTCACCATATTCAAAATAGTTGCCATAGCTGATCCGTTAAGTGCCAGTAAAGATATAAATGATTGATGCTCTCAGGTTTGTCCAGCCATAGCTGTATCATTTTGAGCAAAGTTGAAATTCCCGTCTTTGGAGGTTGTTCTGTGTTAGGCAAGCCTCTCTAGCTACTAATCAAGTGAACTCTGCAACCTTGTACGCTGCATTGCTGTCCACCAGAATTCAACAATAAGTACAAGAATTTACAGTAAAATTCGCCTTACTATTGCCTATACATACAAATCTATCTTGAGTTCTTGACTATTGCCCAAACATTCAAAAGAGTCCAAAACACCCAAATAAGGCAGCCTTCCCATTGCCCGATCATTCAGATGTCTTCTAAATTGAATCCGACCTTCAAGTTGTTTTGAGGGAACCTCAACTCCAATTTACACTCAGAAAGCTAGATGCTTAGTTAGTTTGTTCAGTTGGAACTTTCGCTATCCTGTAAACAGTGTTGATAATTTTTTGAATTTTGGTAGCTCCCTGATTTTAGCATAAATTGTATAGGAGCTAGCATTTACTGTTTGACAGGTTTCTTCTTTTTACCAGCTAGCTCCCTGTCTTGGAGCTAGTCTTTTGTTCTCTCTGTAATTCTGCATCTTCTTGATGCCTTACTAATGCAATTTACTTCATAAAAAAAAAAAAAAATCCAACCTTCAAGATCTCCGGTGTTGGCCAACTTTTAATCTGGTAGCAGTGAGCCTAAATAGATCAGGCAATTGTTCTTAAGGGGAGTATGATTTATCCAGTTGTCTTCCCAAAAGGCAATCCTTCTTCCATCTCCCTCTTCAAAACCAATGCGTCACATGAATTTCTGCCAAAGAGCTTCTAATGTTTTTTCATAAACCTCACTCCGCGAGAGGAAGTCACTGGTGTTGATGTCCAGCATCCCTGTGAACTAAACTTTTCGCTGATAACCTGCTTCCATAGTGATTGCTCTTGAGCAGCAAATCTCCATAGCCATTTCGTCATTTAACTGCAGTTGTGATGTCTCAAATGTCTAATAACAAGGCCTTCTTCCTTCTTACTTTGTGTTAATATACTTCATTTAACCAAAGGATAAGATCTTATTTCTTTGTTACCCTGCCATTAAAAGTCTCCTCTTAGTTTATCCAACCTTTTTTCCAGTTTAACAGGTGAAAGAAACAAAGACATCACATATGTAGGGAGTGAGTCTAAGTCACTCCCTACATATCTTGCCCACCTCTGTTCACATCTTTCTTTCATTCTATAACCCCTTGCTAAATCGGTGAGGATTATTCTTTGCACACAAAGATAAACCCAAATAAGTAGTATGAAGACATCCTATCTCACAGCCCATCACACCGCCCAGTATTTTGATGTTTGGAACTCTATACACTGGGAAAATAAGACTTTTCCTCCAATTGACATGAAGACCAGACACTGATTCGAACACAGTCAGTATCACTCTTTGATGTTGAAGTTGTTCCAGTGTGGCATCACACATAACAAGCGTGTCATTTGCATACATAAGATGAGAGATTTCCAGTCTGCTGTGTCCACTGTTGTCCATCCTGAAACCCCTAATGCATTCATTCTGTTTAGGGATCTTTAACATGTATGTCTATTGGAAACAACCTTTCTACCCTCCCAGTGTAGGGATAGGGGTAAGGTCTGCGTACACACTACTCTCACCCCACTTGTGGGACTTCACTGGGTCTGTTGTTGTTGATCTTTAACATCTGACTGAAACATTCCATGGCCATGATAAAAAGAAAAGGAGACAGAGAATCACCTTGTCTCAACCTCTTTGAGAAGGGAAAATACCTACTGGAGTTCCATTTACCAAGAGAGATTATCTGATAGTGTTGATGCAGTAAAAGAGCCAGCTCCTCCATTTCCTTCTGAACCCCATTTCTTTTAGAACATTGAGGAGAAAATTCCAATTCACATAGTCGTATGCTTTCTCAGGGTCCAATTTGCAAAGAATACCAGGTTTATTTTCCTTCGTCCTACTGTCAACACATCTGTTAGCAATAATAACTGCATCCATAATCTGCCTGTTTTTCCAAAAGCCATCGATGGGTTGTCTACCAGCTTATGAACCCCCAGCTTGAGTCTTTCTGTCAGTACTTTGGCAAGTATTTTGTAACAGCCTCCAATGAGGCTAATAGGGCTGAAACCTCTTAGCTGCACTGCCCCTGGTTTCTTTGGGATTAAAGCAATGTAGGTAGAGTTGAGACTTTTTTCAAATCTCTCCCGTCTGTAAAACAAATTCACAGCATTCACGACATCTTCCTTGGTTATCATCCACATTTTTATGACACTCATCTTGTGGATGTGTTGGATTTTAGAGGCCCAAAATTCATTCGCAAATAATATTGCTACTCACATACTTTCTTCTTGGTAAGTATCCTCCTGTCACATAACCGATAACCCGGTAGCACTCTTCCACTTTAGCCATCGCTTGATAATTTTGTATGTTACATCTTTGTCATCGTGCTATTCTATTGTAAGATTTGAGTCTATTTATTCGAATCATTTGCGTTTTAGGCACTTCAAAATCGTCTAACCTACCTTAGTTTCATTCTTACTAATGTGGCTAAACTTATAGTGAAAATATTTTTCTTACTTATTTTAAACTCTTGCTTTTTAGAGTGTTTCTCCTAGTTCAAGTGGTTGGTTGACAGTCTATTTGTACGTGTTTAATTTTTGCTCGCAGAGATGATCCAGAACTAGACAGTATGTTGAAGGAAAGAGTTCGATGGGGTGACCCAATGGCACATTTGGTTAAGGTGATTTTTTTTTCTGACCACTTTCTTTTTGCAGGCATCTACTCTATCTGTGCTGGGGTGGATCATTGCCAGTTACTGGATTTTGTGTGTTTTTCATGATGAGAGTGGTTCCCTTTAGCTCCTTCTGTGTCTCTAAATATGGTTACATTCTTGGATGTTGCAGAAAAAGCAATTAGAGCCAAGTCTGCCGGACTTTGGGGCTAATGACAAAATGAAGGACTCAGGTTTTATAATCCCTCAGGAAATACCTTCCCACAGTTGGATAAAAAGAGGGTTGGATGCGGCACCCAATCGTTATGGTATAAGACCAGGGCGACACTGGGATGGGGTTGACCGAAGTACAGGTATATGATCTCTCATCTCTTCTGTAATAAGATGGTCTTAACTGGTCCTTATTAAAGAAGATGGTCTTAACTGGTCCTTATAAAAGGTCTTAACTGTTGTCAGTTCTATTTTATTTTTTGAATTTTTTCGCTTGATAGATAAAGCGCTGATTTAAGCTACTTATCTTCTTTCCTCTTTGGCGAATATTGGTGACTTCAATGTTGATTCTCTTCTAACAGGATATGAGAAGCAGTTGTTCAAGAGGACCAATGAGAAACAAGCAACCGAAAGGGAAGCATATCTATGGTCTGTGTCCGACATGTGACCTGTTCCAGTATGTTTATGTACAGACAGACAACATGAGCAGTGGGAATTTCCGACTTCCTTGCCGAGTATTTTGATTCCCACAAATTGCCTCCATGACGAGTTGTTTCGATTTGCGGAAATTTCTTAGCTTCAACATGGTGCCATCAGTTTTGAATAGTAGGAATCTAGTCGTTGACTAATTTGATCGCATTTTGCAGTAACATTTGTCCCACAAGTCGCTGAGTATTTGATCGCATTTTGCAGCCATTGAGGAATCTTCCTTCCCATACTGTGCATTCTGGGTTGCATCATTTTCGTTTGTCTCAAAACGATTGTCACGGCTGACAATCATGAAGTAAAAAACGTAAAAGATATGCTTGTAATTTTCTGGATGTTGTATAAGATTGTAATGAAGGCAAAGCAGAAGACAATATAAGGATGTAATGCTGGGTTTGTTGTAGAAGGAATTGGAAAGGAAATTGCAAGTGTGCAAACTTTTGCAATCTATTTATGAAAATGGAATGAGATCCCCGGTACAAGCTTTTGGTCTCATATTATCTTTCAAGATACCGTTCTAGCATTATTGATAAAAACATTTATTGTGAAGAATATTTCGCGAGTTAACAAGATGCAAATCTTTCTGTAGAAGAAAGGTTAAAGCCTTCTCGTTTAAGATAAAAAGGTGTAAACGCCCATATTGTATGCGTAGCAAAAGTTTAATCATGGAAAACAAAAAATAGTTTTACTTGGCTTGCATTTGGATCAAACAGGATTTTGAGTTGCTGTTCAGGTACCAAACAAAACAGGATTAGTTTTTTCCCCATAGGTAGATGCACACAATTGTTTATTCTGTGTGCAATACTAATAAGTGCATCTCTTGTACACGCTATTTATTGCTTTTACTTTTGGATTTTTTCCCACACAATCGAAGCAACAATGTCCACAGGTACTTGGCAACATAGAAATGTTGCAAACTATTCAAAGGAATACGGGCAGCAGGACTTTTATTCTTTCTGTTTGTGCAAACTAGAGAATTAATGTAAGCTGAGGCTATACTACCACTAATGAGTGTGGTGAAATGAATGAGATCTCTCCACCTTTAACCAGAGGTCTAGAGTTCGAGACCTTGAAATGTAGAATCTCCTAATAAAGAGCACTTCTCACTTAAATGGATCCTATGTAGTGTGAATCTAAGATTAGTTGGGATAGTGAGTTTCGGATACCAAATGATTATTAAAAAACAAAAAGTAAGCAGAGGCTATATTTGCAAAGCTTTTCAAAAAGAGACATAATATAAAAATGGACTCAAAATGAGGCTATTTGCGCAATTCAACCAATAGGCAGGCGAAGCTTCTGGTAGCTTTCCGGGAAGAAGGGGTGCTTTTGAGTTTCAGTTGGCGTGAAACAGCTGTAAGAAGCCTATTGGTTATCTATCGTCACTTTTTTCTTTCTGTTTAAGTTAATTTTTTTTCTGGACTAATTAAGTTTTCTCCGCACATATAAATACAGATCTCGTAGCGCGCAATTGTTAATTTATTATTCTGAATTCACAATGTCATCTCCGGCCGAGTAAGTCACTCCTCACCCCTCCCTCTTTCTCTTCTTACGTTTTCCTGCATACAAACTGAATTACTAGTTTTTATTACGTTCATGGTGATGCTGAATTACTATTACTTTGTTTATCAAACACTCCAAAATTTCAGCTGAATAAGAATTTTAGTCCTTGGAAATAGAACACTGTGCTTAAAAGTAGTTAATTCTAGGTGGTATAAAAATTATCAAACAGTGTTAATTCTCACCATAGAGTAGCTTTTGCGAAGGTTTAATCATAATGAGTGAGGTTATACTGACCATTTTCGCGTGAAGAACGTGGATGCAGTGTGCTGTAAATAAGGAAAAAATTGTAAATCTTAGCATGTTCACTATATACCATGTTCTGAAAATATTTCATAGACGCCGCGTTTTTCGTAATTTTCTTCGGACGATGTAGCTCTTCCCAATCTTCGTTTAAGTTTAATCAATCTTCATCCTTGACTTCTTTTTTAAGAAATTGGTCTAGTAGAGCTACTGATAGGCTTAAGTATAATATATATACAAGAAAGAAATAGTTTGGGATTGATACACTTATATTTGGAAAACACTTGATTGGATTAAAACACTTAGTTGGAAACACTTGATGGCGGAGCCACGTAGCTCCAAGATGTGTCAATTGACATCCTTCCGTCCGAAAATTACACAAAATTACACTAGTTAGATAGGTAAAAATTATTTTTTATGTATATGTACTATGTGCTTAATTCCCTTAACTTCTTCCTATATTTACTTCTTTGATACCCCTTAATAAAAATCTTGGCTTAGCTATTGAGCTGATGCAAACTTTCGAATCATTCTTGGTTCTCATTTTATCTCATTTTGGCCCATTCTAACCTATATCGTGGTCCTTTATCTGATCCTTTTCTCTTTATACTTTTTTTTTCTCTGGCATTATGTGTTCTGCAACAAGTTATTGTTTTCTCATTCCAGATTTTATAAGTCACTTCCACCTATAAGCAAGGCTTATGGGACTGCTTGTCTGTTGCTTACAACTGCATGTCAATTGGGATTATGCCATCCTGTTCATATAGCACTATTGTATCAGCCCTTGATCTCTCATTTTCAGGTAAGCATCCTTGATTCAGTTTAATCTGATTTCATATTACTCTGTAGTTAGCATTTTCACAACACTAATAAGACCATATAGTGTATCTTACAAACAACTGACATGTCTAGTTGTNGAGGTTTGGGAGGATGCAATCCATCTGCTGTCGCAGGACAACTTTTTTGTTTCACAATAAGACCCAGAGATTATTCCTACCTTTGGTAGCTTATGAGTTTACGTCAATCCCTGGTCGGCTGCAATTTTCCTTCACTTTGGCCTGTGAGAATACCACTGATTAGATGGGCATGGGATTTGAATCTAATGTTGAGAAAATCTGTACCTTTTACCTAACTATTACCTAAAGGAGTGTCCAAGTGGTTAATAAAGTGAGACGAAAACCGTAGGAGATTTGAGCTCAAATTCCCGCTAAGTGTTTTTTTTTCATATCCCTAAGCCTTGGTAGGTAGGTTACTCGATGCCTATACTAGTTGGAGATAGCAGGTACCTAGTCGAATGGTCAAGGTGCGTACAAGTTTTCGCAGACATCCAATAGCTTAAGGGAATAATAGGTGTATGTACTATTTATCCACCCAATAGCTTGAGGGACTAATCAAGAAATACATTCTCCATTCTTTCTCTCGTGTATTTCTTCATTTCTCAAGTTCTTTTATGTTATTGTTGGTTCTTGATAAAAGAAATTAAGCGAAATAACACAGAAAGATGACAAGAAAATAAAAAGAGTATACTGGAATAGATGTAAAAGGAACTGAAGCTGAAAATTCTATATATTTTACTGCATTTGGACTACAATTTATAAGAGAAATACTAACTTAAAATACCTAAAAATCAGCACAAAATCTGCTAAAAATAACAAACTCCTAAAGACTAGGTCACTCCTAAAGACTAGTTCAAAATTATTTCAAATTCAAACTAAATTACTGCAGTAAATAACTCTTAAGCTGAAACAGTAAAATAATTTTACTGAGAGCAGCTTCTAAAGCATATTTCTAACAACTGCAAATTCTGAATTTGTGCCTTGTAAACCTTTAACTGGAAGCGACTTTGTACGTAAATCTGCCAACTGATATTTGGACTTGTAGTGAATCGAGTTCACTTCTGTATTTTGCTGCATCTCATGATTGTCAATGAAATAAGTTGGCTCGTTTTTTAGCTTCATTTGCATCTTGCCTTGAGAATTGTCAACTTTCTTCCAGATTTGCATTTTCTAAAATATTAACAACATCTTCCTTACCTCATTTTCACATATGTCCTCAGTTGGAGAATTATCTACACTTTGTAGATTCTTTTGGCTCCATTCTTCATCTTCGGTTGGATCAAATGAGAAGTTTTCACCTCTCATTTTAACCCTTAAAATCTCAAGTCCAGTTGCATCATAAATGAAACAATATTTATCTTCAAAGGATACTTTAAATCCTTTTTCCATTAGTTGTCCAACACTTAATAAATTTTGATCAATATCAGGAACATAAAGAACATCTGAAATTTTCTTAGTACCTGAATTTGTTGGGATTGCAACAGTTCCTTTTCCTTTAGCAAGAATATAATCACCATTTCCAATTCTGACTTTCTTATTTCCTATAGACGTGAACTCTTTGAAAAGATTTCTATCATATGTCATGTGGTTTGTACAACCACTGTCAATCAACCAAAAATTAGATTTTTTGGTTGAAAGAATAGTTGCCACAAACAAGTGATCTTATTCTTCTTCATTGGCGACTTGGGCATCTGCTTCATGCTTTTGATATTTGCCTTTGCAAATTACAGCTTCATGACCAAGTTGGTTGTAAATTTTGCACTTTGCATCTGGCCTCTTCCAATATTTGAATGGTGGATGACCTTTTTTGCCACAGTGCTAACAAGGTGGGTAATTTTTCTTTACATTATTACCCTTGCTTTGAGTTTTGTGGTTGGCTGCCAAGACTCCTTCAACCATACCATCTTGCCTCATAAGCCTCCTTTGCTCTTGTACCTGGAATGTATTTAACAATTCTGCCAAGGTAATCTTGGATAGATCCTTTGTATTTTCCAAGGTAGTTATGGATACTTCATATTTTTCAGGCACCGTAACAAGAATTTTTTTCAACAAGTCTTAAATCTTTAAATTTAGTACCAAGCAATCTTACCTTGTTAACAATACCAAGCAACCGATCTGAGTATTCTTTGACAGTCTCAGATTCCTTCATTTTCTGTAACTCGAATTCCCTTATTAAATTCAACATCTTCATGCCTCGTATTCTTTCATCTCCTGTATATTCTCCCTTCAGATAATCCCAAATTTCTTTTGCTGATTTGAGAGACATAACTCTCGTGAATATTGTTACAGACACACCAGCAAACAAAGTTGCTTTCGCCTTTGATTTTCTGGTTTTCTTTTCCTTGTGACTCTTGATCTGGGCCACTGTGGGATTGTTAGGCAGCGGAAGAACATCATAATCCTCTTCCACGGCCTCCCAAAGATCTAAAGCCTCCAAGTAAGTCTCCATTCTCACTGCCCACAGTTGGTAATTTTCACCATCAAAGACTGGAGGAGCCAATTGAGAAAAACTCATTTCAGTCTCCATCTCACTCAAGAAAAGATTTTACTTAGGTCCATTAAGAAGATGATTCTTGATACCAATTGTTGGTTCTTGATAAAAGAAATTAAGGGAAATAATAGGGAAAGATGACAAGAAAATAAAAAGAGTATACTGGAATAGATGTAATAGGAGTTGAAGCTGAAAATTCTATATATTTTACTGCATTTGGACTACAATTTATAAGAGAAATACTAACTTAAAATACCTAAAAATCAGCACAAAATCTGCTGAAAATAACAAACTCCTAGAGACTAGGTCAATCTTAAAGACTAGTTCAAAATTATTTCAAATTCAAACTAAATTACTGCAGTAAATAACTCTTAAGCTGAAATAGTAAAATAATTTTACTGAGAGCAGCTTCTAAAGCATATTTCTAACAGTTATCTTAAAAATGTTAAGTTATTAACTAGTACTTCTTTGGGGTATGCCTATGACTATTGAATTTTATGTTATTTCGAATAACCATTGCTCTGCCATGGCATAACAAAGTAAAGTGAGGGGGATTTTTATTTATTGAAGTGGAAATGAGGCTTGAATTGTTGAGTTGCATGCAGTTGAAAACGACTAATCAATTATGTAATTTCGACTAACCATTGCTCTGACATGGCATAACAAAATGTTGCATGCAGTTGAAATTTATGCAGAGGCGAAGTCAGGATTTGAAACTTATGGGTTCGAGATTTTAGTCATTTTAAGTTACTGGGTTCTAAATAAATAATTTATGCATATTCAATAGATTTTTTAAGACAAATACATGGATCAGACCAAAGTGATTGGGTTCGGCTGAACCCATACTCGATGGGCTAACTCCGCCTCTGAATCTATGCATTGATAACCACTTCTCTTCCCTGTGGCAACCTACTTTATTGAGTAGTTCTGAATCTACTTTTGTCTCTTCTTCCGTATAAGTTGGATAGATCCAGAACCGTAGGTAGCAGGAGCTTTCATTTCATTTTGAAGTGAGAGTATGGAATAGGCTGTGCATCAAACTGCAATAATTATTTGAAGTTAACGGTGTTAAATATTTATCATTTATCCGTCAAATGAAGGAAAAGATAAAATAGTCTTCTGGAATTCCGAGTATCTCGTCAATTAATTCAAGTTACATCTATAGAAACTATTTGGGGTTAAACTTTTACTTTTCTTTTACTAACAGATGCTGACATAAATTAGTTTCATTGGTTTAAAATGCACCTAAAGATTGTGTCTATGACCTATGTTTGATGATACCAGAGACAACTGGGAGAAAGTACTTTTAAAGACCGAAAAAAGGGAAAATGATGATTTTGTGCAATATCAGGAATAACTCAAAATGATTTTTATGATTACAAACGATGTCTCAGAAAATACCCAATTTTTTGTACTTCATGTTGATCAATGCATCTATTATAAGTCTTGAGATGTTGCAATGTTAATGTCACTTTAATAGAGCTGATATTGTTTCATGTTGTATTAGATATGTGTTAATTTGCTCTTATAGGTACTTTTAAATATTTATAAGATTTTAATTTATCAAAGAAGATTTTATGTATGAGACTGGATGTTGCATTTGTTTCAGGTCTGGCGATTGATTACTAACTTCCTCTTTCTTGGAAAGTTTTCTATTAATTTTGGAATTCGCCTCTTAATGATGTAAGTACTTATGTAGTATGGGTAGAGATCTAATATGTTTTCAGTCATTTTCCACTGTAGCTATTAAAAGCATGGAAGTAGCTGTGATTTTTTTTATTTAATAGTAACTAATTATGACTTTTGCTTCATGATGTTATAGAGCGAGATATGGGGTACAACTGGAAAATGGACCATTTCAAAGACGTACTGCAGATTTTCTATGGATGATGATATTTGGAGCTTTCACATTATTGGTATGTCAGATGTTGACAATCATTTGAAGAGTGAATATCTGGGACCTTAGCTCCTGTAGTATTTGTCTTTAGTTGTCACCCCCACTTCTGTCCTTTGCCATCATCTTTTCAATTTGTTGTTCAACTTTCATTGAAGATTTTGTTTGATGTCTTTGATTTCCACCTACAACCAATCTTTCATCTTTGATACATTCTTTCCTCTCGTGTTTAGGTTTTATCCGCAATCCCCTTCTTCAGTTCTCCGTTCTTGGGCATATCGCTGGTTTTCATGCTTCTATATGTCTGGAGTAGAGAATTCCCAGATGCCAATATCAACATTTATGGTCTTGTAACCCTAAAGGTATGGTTCTGCACTTTTTAGTTAGGTAGTATTATAGCCCCACTTATCAGTTTTTTTGTTTCTTATCTTAATTGTCCATTGGTAATTTCCCTATTTCCAACTTTCAGGCGTTTTATTTGCCATGGGCCATGCTCTGTTTAGATGTTATTTTTGGTTCATCAATCATGCCAGACCTGTTGGGGATCATTGCTGGACATCTGTATTACTTCTTAACCGTATTGCATCCACTTGCCACTGGGAAGAACTTTTTGAAGACGCCGATGTGGGTGTATCCTTTTGATTGCAGTTGATTCTTTTTATATGATTAACTGTGATGTTGCTGTTCTGTTAGGCCCTTTACTATTCTATATTTGTTTGATTTCTACCAAGAGAATCGTAGTAAAGAGGAGAGGGGGGAAAAGGGGTGTGTGTGTGGGGAAGGAGATGCATGTTCCTTCTCTGCATTTAGGAGTGACATGCATCTTTCAGTGTCTTTTTTTTTTCCCATCTTTCTATGTCTTAATTATATTCTTGTCTTGAAGTTTCCTTGACTGCTGATTCATAGACATAAACTTGTAACACGGTGGAGGATAGGTGTACCACCAATTAATCGTGCTCAACCTGATAGGAGTTCTGGTGTAGCATTTAGAGGGAGGTCTTATCGCGTGGGTGGATGAAGATGCTGCTTACATGACTGCAGACATGAAGATGTCTATATGGTATGCACAACAGCAGATGGAAGTACAGCTACCTTCAGCCAGCCACCCCTGCCAAAAGAAAATGTTTTGATGTAGATTTTCTTCTTGTCTAGTGCATAGAAGTTCTACAAATGGATTACTGATAATAGTATAATATGCCAATTAGTTGATAATTAAAGCTGTGTGATTATTCCTTATTTCCAGTGCTACTCATGGGAAATCCAGATTGTTTATGTTGGCTGCCTTGCATCTCTTTGAGGGTTAATTTGCATGACCCTGTGGAACATCTATCCCCTCTTCCTAATTGGAGAATGTCACAAACTTCATTAGGGTGAATATCATCTTTTTTCTTTTCCAGCATTTCTTGAAATGTACTGACGGGCAATGGTAGGCTATTTGGTAAAACTAATAACCAAGATTTGTGATCACTTTGGTTTCAAACCACATGTTCCTTCTATAATATGCTGGACTTGTGATCACTTTGGTTTCAAACAACATGCTCCTTCTATATAATATGCTGATATCAATGTGAAAATAGCATAGACTAGCCAGTTTTCGGATCGGTATTTGAAAAATAGCCAGCGTTTGCAAAGTTATTAAAAAATAGCTACTATTTTGCTGCAACACGTAAAGTTACAGTATAATATACTGGAGATTGGTGCACCTGTGTATGAACTTCCAACATATTGTGCTGGATCAGTATATTATGCTGAAATTTCAGTATATCATGCTGGAATATTTACCAAATTTTGAATAGTGTTTTCGTTTAGATTTATCTTTACGTGAAAAGTGGCTAAATTTCGATTACTTTTGAAACTGTGGCTATTTTTCAATTACCACTTACAAATCTGGCTTTTTTTTTGAATTTTACCCGATATCAATGCTAGCTTAGGCGTTTAATAAGACGCTGTGCAACTTGTTGGAAAGGTCGTCTCCAACTCCAAACAAGGTATGAGCAATTGGGAATTTAGGTAACATTCTTCCTAGCAACTGAGTCGATGTCAAAAAACGAAGATGGATAATCAAGTCCTTTCAATGAGAAAGCTCATCACCTCTCATTGAAGAATATGGAAAAAATTTCAAATTTTCTTCCAGCAATAGAATTTTTAACGTAAAATTGGAGTCTAACAAAAGAATAAAATATCGCGAGTTTCTTCCACATGGATAAAATAGATACATATCTGTAAACTGAAACGCAATTCTTGAACAAACTTAGGATACAGAAGTTATCTCAATAAGCTAGTAACACTCAATTGGTTTGACAGTAACATCATCAGTAGAAAATACATTTAGTAGTGGCAAGTTGGTAACCGGTAATGAAACTACACAAACTGCTATATATGCTAAAAAATATACTAGTAGCACCCTTTTGTTTCTTTTTTTTTTTGGTATAATCATCCGATATTTGAAGTTCACTCGTTCGATTAATATGGATTCGTGCCATAGAAAGCTCACGGTAGGGGTTTTAGCGTTCCCTACCAAAGAGGACTTCATTCTCAGAGCTCGAACCCAATGAGCTTATTAAGTAGTAAGAATGGGAGGAAGAAAATCAGATTTGGTACCGAGAACTCGAGCCTTGGTGTCAGGGAAGTATTCTGTTCCAGGTAGTTCAGTGACCTCTCCATTTTCAGTCACAGCAATAGGGTAAGTAAGCAAGTGGCCAGGCAAATCATGAACCAGGCTCTCACTTGAATACAAATCCCAATATTTATCAGCAACTTGGTTCACTTTTCGGATGCATTCGGGGCTCTCTGGATAAAGAAAACTGTTATCTAACAGGCCCAAGTGTTCATACCACAATGCCATTCTGAAACCATGAACTTGACCCCTAGCTGGCTCCTTTACTGATAAATGAAATGGTTGGTAAGCTCCCATTGCTATTTCTGAATCTCTTGCTCCATCCATTGACCTTTGGTTTATGTTTGCTGATCCAATGATAATGTATTCATCATCCACTGCAAAAAAGAACACACAAAAACAAGAATTGAGAACTTAATATATCTCAATGTTTTCTAGCTTCAACTGCAGTTATCAAAGGCGAAAAACACAAAAAGGTTCTAAGGTCTATTGGGTCTTTAAGCGCAAAGTGCAAAGAATGACGCAAATGGAGAAAAACTACAAAATATGTATGTGTAGTCCAAGACTAATATCTATAAGCATGAACACTAAAAATATGGACAAAGAAATTGAAGAAAATTTACGATAAAGTGAAATATCAATTGTTTAGTGTCGCCACTTTCAGATTATGCGCATTAGTAAGGAAAAGTATGCCTTAGAGCCTTGATGACAACACTGAAGCGCCCGCTAAACGAGGCGAAGCGCTCAACATGTTTTGAGCCTCGCTTCAGGGCTTAAGGCTTAAGCGCACCTTTGATAACACTGTTCAACTGATTAAAGAATTATATACTTACCTATCATCATTTTGGCATGCACGTAAATCATGAAACGCCTGGCTTCTTGAGCTCTACTATAGTCTGAATCAGGTTCTGGTGTCTCAGAAGGCTCATATTCTCCTCCCTTTTTTGTTTCCCTATTGCCAAGGCAAAAGAAACTCAAGTATTCCTTTGGATTTGCTATAATTCCCTTTACTTTTAGAGCTTGAATTATATCGGTGTACATCATTCGCATAGTCCTCCTCTGCCAATCCAGTATTGCTTGTACAGATCCACTCTCAGGAAGTCCTTCTGGCCACATTGGAAGCACAACATAAACCGTAAACCTTTCCCCTGCTTCGATTTTGCTCACTATCTTCAAAGACAGCTCCTTTGGGATCAAGTGCAAAGCATTGATCTCTTCATCCTTGATATCATTAGAGTACCACGAAAAAGAGCTACCTAAGAAGTACTGGTTTTCGATGTAGATGAAATGCTTTGCTCTACGAATGGCATTAATATATGCGTCCTGTATGCTTCGGTCAATGATGTTGTCCTTTCCACTTATAAGGCCAGACTTTGCTGCCTCCTCAGGAACATTAGGGAAGCCGAAAGCTGCTCCCCCATCAATTGATCGAAAAACTTGAACATTCCACGTGTCATGATCGTCTGGATACATAACAGGTGAAGGTGGAGTGATAATGTTGTCGATATCCCTTAGGTTTATAAGCAAGTCCTTTCCTCCTTGCTTCCTCCACCTCTGCTCAAAATTGTACAGTACATCCCAAGCAACTGGCCCTTCTAATCGACAATGTATATCGTGCCAAGGCTCTCTTGGTCCCCCTTTTTGTATTGATGCACCAGTGAAATTTGCTTGGTGAAAATCATCATGATGTGCTGTGTCCAATGTCCTAAAAAGGGAGTGAAATTGTGTATCATATCTACCATCACAAAGATCAATCCCACCAATATAACTCACAATTCTCCTCTTCTCTTTGTCTCCATTAGGCATTTCACCATCCACAACAACAATCTTCTGATGATGAGTGAACATTGTCCCGATTTCTATATTCTGAATAATGCTCCGTCCATCATCAGGATTTCGAGGACACAACACACAATTGACTTCAGTATCTCGGAAAAAATTAGCAGTTTCTTCATCATGAGTAGCCATTAGTCCATCTTGTTTCAACACACCAACCGATGTTCTATCATCCCAAACCAGCATTAGAACTCTCACACCTTCATTAGCTTTTTTCTTAAGCAACTCCCCGAGCGTTATGTCTCCACCAGGTTTAGGCCTCCTTGTGTCCCTTATCAAAGTGATCTCAGTATATACAGACCATCCTGTTATGTAAATCAAGTGCTTTGCATTCGTTATAGCATCGAAAATATCTTCCCAGCATCGTTGTGGCTCGTAAAACTTTCCACCAGCAAGAGGGATTTTCGGGATGAAGTTATCAGGAACATGAGCATCTTGGTAAAGTGTGACTTTGCATCCTTGTCTTTGACTAAAAAATGTGTAAGGAACACCAGGAAATCTTGTTACTTTTATCCCTCTATTCCAATTATATTCCCTTGTGACATCAAAAAACTGCAACTTCACATGAATTTTAGAGTGTCCATGCACAGGTTTTCGTTCTGTATCGAGGATTTCAAGCCATTTATCGACTTCTTCTCCATCTAGTAGTTCTTGAACTGGCAAGTAAGCTCTACCAATGAGTTCTGCTCCAATTGGATTATCAATTTTGACAGTGAATATAACATCTGCAGCCATATGAGCACAGTAAATGTGGAAAGACTCGTACCACCGCGGATTTTTGTGTTCATTCAGCAATCTTGTTCTGCCAACTCTGGCTTTTTGAAGATCAATGGTTGCATATAGTCTTGAGGCTGTCTTACTGAAGCCAATTGCTCCCTCAATGCCATGCACCACCTACAAAAAATAATAGTTACAATATGGAACTGCCAAGAATTCTACAATTTCTTATTACTGTCTCGTAACATGTCAACCTGTATAATTATAATAGGGAACTGCTAAGAAGTCAACAATTTTTTATTACAGTCTTGTAACATGTCAAACTGTATAATTATAATATGGAACTGCTAAGAAGTCTACTTGTTACTATCTCGTAACATGTCAAACTATATAATTATAATATGGAACTGCTAAGAAGTCTACAATTTCTTGTTACTGTCGCATAATATGTCCCAACTATAAAATGTTAAAGAAGTGTCAAAAGATATTTATACTTTAATTATTACTAGTGTAGATTAAATGTTTAATATAGTTTTAGATTTATAAAAGTTAAGATGAATTTTCTCAAATCTTGTGCACGAAAATCAAAAACCTTGTACATAGTACTCCATCCATCAAAATTAGTCTAATTCCTTTTGCTTAGAGAAAGTTAGTTCCACCAATATTAGCAGCTAAATAGAACTCATTTATTTTTGGCAAATAAAAGATTTTATTACAAAAACTGGAAATATTAAAATAATACTTTCTATAACAAAAATAACAAGGCACTACTATAAAACTGGAACTCATTAATTCCTTTTTCTCTAATAATTAAGATATTGAGAAAAAATAACAAAAGTATTACGTACTACTCCTTTCGGTCCAAAATAAGTGATTTTTTAGCTTTTTTCTTGTGGTCCAAAATAAGTGATTTTTTCAGATTTCAAGAATGAATTAATTATTTTTTTCCTACATTGCCCTTGGAGTAATTAATGTTGGAGTTAGGAGTGTTTATGTGAAAAGATAGTAAAGGTTAATATGATCAATTTCATTGCTAATTAATGTTAAAAGGTGAATTTCTTAATATGTGTGAAAACAACCAAAAAATCACTTATTTTGAACCGGAGAAAGTATAAAACAATATAATAACGACACCTGTATATATCAAGTTGGGTGGAGTCAGTTGTATAATGTGATTTTAGATCAACCTCGTCCTCTCACAATAT